GTTTAGAACTCGGGCCACGTACCGTGGACGACTCAAGCGCCGGAGGCCACAGAACGACCTCCGCCCTCCATAAGCGCAGGCCTGGGAGTGACACGTGAGGCTATCTGACTCCCTAGCAGAAGCAGGCCCGGGTGCGCCCTTTCGGGAGCACAAAGGGAACAGTGGGGCTCCCACACAGGAGGGGGTCATCTCCCCGCCGTAGATAGCCCGAGGTACGTCGGGACACCAAGGATTTCCTTTCTAGGGTACACCTGGTTCCCTGGCTACTGGTACCCGAGACGGCGTTCGGTTTTTAGTCGGTCTAGTCCGACATAGCCACCGGTGGGTGGTATCCGAGGGGATTTCAGCACAGAAAAAAAAAAGACGTGTGGCACTCGGGAACTGCCGCGGTAAAGCTATTGCATAGCATTTTGTATCAACTTATGCAATTATAATTATTTATTTATTTTATTTATCCAGTATTTCTTTTTCTTTGATATTAAATCAAGTTACACTTTTTGAGCGTGGTGACCGATAAGAAAACAATTTTTTTTCTTTTATTAAATAAAAATATTGAAGCATATACATATTACAATTTGTTTTTAAATAAATAAATAAAAAAATATTATTATTAAATCAAATTACATATCCATGTAAGATTTTTCTGCATTATGTTGACGAAATTTCCTTTGACGTTCGGCATTTGATTTTGGTACTGTTTTTTGTTTTGTTTTTAGCGTGAGGTTTTTTTTCGTTACGGAATTTCTGGATTCGGTCCCCGCGCTCAAGGCCCTCGATAGAAGCTATGCAATAGCTTAAAAAAGAATTAGTAATATATATTTTTACCTCCGAACCTTTCCAAAAACTAGGTTGGGGTCGGATTTCAGTCTACTATGATGAACTTACGTGATGATTATTTTTTTGCATGGAGCGACTGCCATTAGATCTCGACAAGCCAAGCAGTGGCAATATCTAAATTCTGTAGAGAGACTGTTGACTGTTGACGGAATTTTTAGGACTCCACAGATGACACGCATGGTAACCGGGACCAACGGCTCCACATGCTCTCCGAGGCTCAATTATTGACCTATTGCATTGCTACCAATCTTCTCTAAAATTTGTGAGAAAATTATTTACAGCAACCTGAATAACTATCTGGAAAATAGTAACATTATTTGTAAAGAACAGATGGGCTTCAGAAAAAAATAAAACCATTAATATAGTTATTCATGTGTTTCTAGAAAAAACTTGATGAACTTTTATTGTTTTTATTACTACTTTCGAAACATGGCGATTTTGATAAATTTCATTTGTAACGTCTGAATTTACCTGTGTTTTATGAAATACATGATTGACAGTTTTTTTTTCTTAATAAGTTAAATACTGTGCTTTTTACAAAATAAAGTATATTTTATTTATTATTTATTTACTATCGAATCGGATCTAGTCCAGAGGTATTATGGAATTTCCAAAGACTAACTCAACTATGATTCAATATATTTAATTCTTATTGGCTTTTCACAGTGAGATTTATCGCCATTAGATAGGTTTTGGGTTAATTTTACCAACGCAACGCAAGAAACCGGTGCTTCTCAAGAATTCTCTCAACACTGACAGCAGTGTCTCACGCAGTTGTGATTCGCTGAGACTACTACTACCAGGACTATCTAACTACTGGTTTAGATATCGATCAAGATAGATATCTAAACCAGTAGTTAAGAAATCGATCTCGGGCTTTGCGCGCGATGTGATGACTTCCACATACAGCTGAAATATCATCTAGCAAAAACCTAATCAACGTAGTAACTAGTACTTTTGATTTACACATTGAAATTTTCACCACTGATAGAGTTCATACAACCTTCCAGTATTAGTTGTTATTAGAACAGTGATTTTACTGGTTCAATGCGCTTATTTATTAATTTTGCGCAGTTATACATATATTTTTATTATACTTAAAGTTGTTAATACTCAGAGAGTTTCAGATAAACATTAGGTTTGTTAGTTCTTCAAAATTTGTATTTTGATAAACAGATTCATAGTTCTTCAAAAATTATATAAAACTTGTTTTTGTAGTTTATAATATACAACTGCTTGTTACTCTAAATAAATAAACATACCTATCACGAGCTGTATTTGTTTACATGTATAAAGTTAAATGTACATAATATTCTAACAAAGCTTATGTCCGCAGTTGCGTTCGCGTGAATGTGCAGAACGTAGAAGCGTGATCGATTAGTCAATTAATGTAGGTATCTCGTTAATACAGCGGTTTTTTTTCTAGATGAATGTTACCCTATCACATTTTCTGTACCAATTAAGTATTTAACAAATAAACAAAACCATTTTCGCATTATTAATATTATTTAGGATCAGTTAATGTTACAATGGTCGTGTGGTGACGGATTAAGAATACGGAGTGTCAACACCCCTATTCATTACGTAAGAGCCAACTAAGGGAGCAAACTACGCAGGACAACAGTACTGCAAATAGAAGGAAAACTTGCCACTAAGCCTCGAAATACGATTATTACATTTGGCGACGAGGAAAATATCGTACAACGCGCGATATTTCGGATATCTACGAGTGTTTACCTATCTTTCGAATTTATTTAGTAATTTTCTAATTGCAATTGAAAAGAAAAAAATGTCCATCCGCAAAATTAAAGACTTTGACATAAAGTGCGGGACGTGATCGTCGTACATTGACCGTTCAATTATGTACTTCAAAGTTAATAATGTGACTGAGGATATGAAATAGCCGATCCTTATTGCTTCAATCGGGGACGAAGGGTACGAATTGATGGAGAACCTGTTGAGCCCGGAGAAACCGGCCAATTCTACATTCGCAAAGGTTAAAGAGTAGATGAGGCAACATCTACAACATACCCCGTCATTATTAGCAGAGAGGTACCGGTTCCGACAAAGGAGGCAAAATGTCGCAGAGAATGTCACATCTTACGACGCGGAATTGAAGAAGTTATCGTGGCATTGTAAATTCACGGGTAGCTAAAATGAAAATCTGAGAGATCAATTTGTATGTGGGTTAAGGAATGACGTCATTCGGCAGCGTTTATTTGCGGAAAAATACACCGTGACATTTGGCGAGGCCGTGGCACTAGCGACGGCATTGGAGGTAGCGGAAGGACCGGGACGAGAAGCGAAGTCAAGGGAGGCGGGCGTGGTTCACGTCATCGCTTCGAGCTCAGCGGCATCGGCGGCCGACTTACACAGCATCACGAGGAGAAGGGGAGTATCGCGAGTTGCGAAGCCTGTGGGAATCGCAATAATGACTAGAGTGTGTCCACATCGGGGCACGAACACAGTACCGCCGGCGGGCGCGGATCGGCGCAGGGTGCACTACGGCGAGGCGTGGACGTCGAATACGAGTTACATCAATTTTGTTTGAATGATTATAAGGCTGTAAGCTGACCGGGAACGGGCCAGGTACCGCAGGCGACTCAGGCGCCGGAGGTCGCAGAACGACCTCCGTCCTCCATAAGCGCAGGCCTGAGAGTGACAGGAGAGGCCATCTGTCACCCTAGCAGAAGCAGGCCGGGGTGGCGGCGAGCGCGTTGTGAAGCGCGCTCGCTTCCAGGAAGCAGAGGGAACCTGGGGTTCCCACACGGGGGGGGGTCGTCTACTCGTCTGTAGATGGCCCGAGGTATGTCGGGGCACCAGGGACTTCCTTTCTAGGGTATACTTGGTTCCCCGACTATTAGTACCCGAGACGGCATGCGGTTTTAGTCGGTTCGACAATAATTGCGAAAGATTTACTTTACTTTATTTACGAAAGAATTACTTGTCATACTATATAATCCATTCAATTTAATATAACTTAGTTGATTTTAAATTCACTGAAATTCACATTTTACACACACAATACTTGTTTAAATTAAAATCACTACAACCTTTTGGTTTATGTTAAAGTTTTAATATTATTAATATAAAAATAAAAATTAAATTTTCATTTTAGAAATATAAAAATAAAAACATTGTTTGACAATTCAACATGACAAGTGTTGATAAATAATTTGAACGTTCCGTTATAGCTGATAACTGGTCATTTTATTTTATTATTTATTATATTAAATTTTGGATGCTTGCTTGAAACAACAAGCTTGTTAATAAGTTAACATTGGTATACTAGCACATACCATACTAAATCCAAATTCACAGAAATTATGTGTGTAAAACATTTTCTTTTTAATAATTAGTTGCGTAATACGGAATAATAATGTTGATCATGGGGAAACGTAATTGAGAACAGTCTTTAAGTTCAAATCAATATTTGAAACCAGTTTCAACTGAGTAAAACTTAAAGCGCGTTCTATAATAAGATCGATACTTAAGTTTTGATCTGCACTTAAAACTAGTTTCAGGCAATCAGAGTTCAACCGATACTTGAGACGTCTTTTAAAATACGGGCCTTAGAATTTGCGCAGATTACAAAGCTACACTAAACCCGTCTTTACTGGTCCCCACTTCCTAGTACGTATTAGTGAACTTGAATATTAGTTTATATTATAGTAAAATCAATTTATCATCTACTTATGATCGGGTGAAAATGGATAAATCAAATTAATATATTATTATTATTAATTATATTATATGCCTAATGTATAAGTGTTCCTTGATGACGTCATCATATCTGCAAAATCTAGGGAGGCTCACTTAGAAGCTTACATGCTGTTTTTTAACGACTCTTAGATAAGGGCTTAAAACTAAAGGAAAGTAAGTGTGTATTTTTAGCAGAAGAGGTTACAAAATTAGGGTATGTCGTTACAAAAAATGGTATCAAGCCGGCTAATGCAAAAATTTAGGGTATATTAAAATTGGCACAACCTTCTAATGTCGGTAAAATATTATAATCATGTAATAACCTCGGTACTGTAATATTCCTCGGAAAATTCATTAAAACCCTTAGCTTAATATTGTATCCTTCATATAGGCTCCTACGGAAAGACGTGGAATGGAATTGGCCTCGTGAATGTAAACAAACTTTTAGTGAAGTTAAGAAAATGTGCGGAACTAGTGCAGATATTCTTGCTCACCATGAACCCGATAAGTCATTGATAGTGACATGCGATGCTAGCGCGCGCGGCGTGGGCGCGGAGTTAAGACGTAGGTCGCGGCACTCGTTAGCTTGTAGTAAAGTGCTAGAAATCAGGCTAGTGAGAGAAGGGGGTCTAAGGAAGATGCGGGTTTGTCGGGTTAGTCAACGGGAGCGGTTACCTCGGAAACACCCGCTGGCCCGCGACGTTTCCTTCCTTCCTGAGTCGGGTTCTCCAAGAAAGGGCAATTTACCACAACCTGCCCTACCTGTATCGCCCCAGCCTGACCCTGTACGACAGTGTAGAATTAATAAATAGGTTAGGTATAAGTATTCAAGTGTTATTAGTTGTTTAAAATTGTTGTGTAGAAATAAAATTGTTATTAGTTGTAAGGCTTTTTGAATTATGTAAACTTGTTCATTGAGACTTATAGAATAACTTTAGTTAAGAAGGAATGTATCATTTTATTTTGCGGGAGTGTAATGTAGGGTAATTTGTATTAAATAGTTATAAGTCTTAAATACCGTATATATGCATAAATGTGGTTATCGGGCAAATCTTATTGTATGTGTAGTCGGAAATAAATACTTGAATGTTTAATACATGTATTCGTTAGTAACCCGCAAACGTTACAGTAGTAAATAAAGAAAATAAAATGATGGAATGTTATTTATTAGGTAACAGATACAAAATACATATATATGGTAACAACAAATTATTCTAGATTTGTACCTTTAATGAAATGCTGGTCGTTAGCCGATGATTACGATAGCATATTTATTATAGTGATCATGTCATAGGATATAAAATAGAATATGTAATTTATAATAATTTATTAAGAGAGACCTTTGATACGAAACTCTTAATCCTTGTCAATAATGCTTATGGTTCATTGAACGTGCGCCGTATAATTCAACGATACACCTTATTACGAACTCGAGATTAGGTTTTTTACACAAACCTCTGAGTAAAGTGAATTGTTTTTAACGTTTTAATAAGTTTCAATATTTTATATGAACTAAAAAAAAAAATCATAAAGAAATAGTCTTTATTTTCACTTATACACTATTTGCATTTATACACCTGTATTTATTTTAATTTAATGCCTACAATAGTATGCTGATGTTCGCAAAGTAAAACTAAAATAAATTATACGAGACAATACCTGTTACTCGAACTATATCAATTAAGAGGGTACAGGATCAAACGAAGCAGCTCGGTCTAGCAAATGTTCGAAGACCAGAAGAAACCGCTTACCTATGTCAATTTTAAATTAAAGCTAACTTTATACGTCTATAAGAGAGAAAATTATGAAACTCAATGGAACATTATTAAAGGAAAATGTTATTATGTTTCAAAAGCATCCATTCCTTTTAAGTAGAAATGAAATTATGCAAAGCAGTCATATAGACAATTTGTAATTGATTGAAGGTATACATCTTCTAATCCAAACGCATTGAAACGTTTTTCGTTTAATATAATTAAAAGTTTTTCGCATAGGCGCAAGCCTTGACTGTAATGGTAGTCTTCTTTTTCGTTACCATCTTTTAATTTTCTAGAGCTAATAATATAATGCTTCTACGTATTGGAAACGCATAGATATAAGAATTTAGTCATAGGAAAATATCGTCAATCGAACAGAGGAACACAATCCCCAAAAACGAACGAATACGAAGAGTTGATTATGCATCAAGCATTGGCAGTAACCACACCTAAAGGTAGTTAAAAGTATTAACGGTAGTTAGGTGTGCATTTTGAACTTAAAGTATATGTGACAATCCTTCGTTTGTCTTAAGTATTATCTGTACTTAAATATGAAACATTGACAGATAATCTAAGCCAGGCCTACCTCCACCTGAAATTTAGTCATTATATAGTAACAGTCAAGCATGTCTTTGTCCAACATTCAGAATTTATTAACCCTTCTATCTTCTGCCCTTTGTCTTTTACATTTCCTGCTAATCACACCATAAAGAAAACAGCATACCATATTTTTTTTATGAAATTCAGTAAAGTTGTAAGAGAATTCCTCTTCATGTTGAGTATGCTATGTCTATAATATTTACAAGGTACCTTACAAGGTACCAAGGTACCAAAGTACCTTTCATTTTCGACCTACACAATCCACCGAAGAAATTTCGTTCTAAACTGTTTCCATAATATTATATGATAACGGTAGGTACATGATACATATAATATTAATATATACAGAAGAGCAATCAAGATAATTGATATTCAAATTAGTTAATAGGCACCTGGTATTAAGTATCTATGAATAGTGAACAAGAGGGTTATGTAAAGCTAAATAACAGAGAGTTTGTTGTTGTATTTCAGACAATCTGTTAACGGATAAACTTAGCCTATCTTGTAAGGATAAAGGGTAGGGCGAACTTAAACCTTAAAACGTATAAATGGCTTTGTTTAAAATTATAAGAAATACATTGATGGAAGTATATAAAAAAAATTACGTTCTTTTTAGAAACATCAAATGGTTATTTCAATTTTGTAAGAAAATCCAATGGACCATCACTTCATCGAGGTCTAACGATAGGGTGGTATATGAGACTTAAACCGACTAGAACCACATAGTATACCATGATCAGATTTTCTACAGGGCCCTGGGCTGCTGGGGCTCAGATGTACCCTAATAAAAACTTATTTAATAAAACGATTTATAACCTCTTAAGGGTCTTAGCATGATGATTCTATAGCATTTATAAAACATTACTTAACCGATCAAAAACAAAAATAATAATTAGCACTAGATTGATAGTGTCAGCAATTAGCGCGACTAACAATTGTACAAATAATTAAACAATCATATTATGTCTTGGACGCGAAAGATTCCAAATGGGTCATCATAATTGATTACTAATTTTGTACTTAATATTTATATGTGCAGGGCGCGAAAGATTCAAAATTAGTACTATTTATATAAATCCTTTTTAATTAAAAGTTGATGAAACAATTCTAACAAAGAGCTCTTAGTTTACTAAGGGTTATACGGTGTCTCAATTATTTTACTTTTAGCAATACGTCTTCATCATCAATGTTTACCAAAAAACCATTACTATTTTTAAATGGCTACTAATACCTGTAAAAAATTATAAAATAAAATAAATACACTTTTGCTCTCGTCATTACTTTAATTTCATTTTTAGATACCTAACAACTGGGGGTTGAATTTGGACAAAGAAAAGATGTCCAATATATTGAAATTCATGTTCTGCCCCTGGAGGTTGAACATGGACAACATCTAAATGTGTCTAAATGTGCCCTAAGGGTTCAACATGGACGGGGTAGAGATTATGGGGGTTGAACGTGGACTAAACCAACCTAGCAGCAATCGCGGTTGATTTGCTGTTATTTTTTTATGAGTTCCTATGTCTGAGTCCGAAACTCATCATCAGATCTATATGAAATTTAAATGGGACCATTTCGGAATAAACAACTTTCGAACAAAATAATTATTTTTTTAAAGCGGTCTGTATATGACGGAGTTATATACATACATAAAGAAAAACATCCGAATTGATAACCTCCTCCTCTTTGAAGGCGGTTAAAAATTTAATTCCTGTGAACCTCGGCACTCTCATTTACCCCGGCACACAACGTTTGTTATGTGCCAAGAGACCTGTCATCTCTTATTTAGATACCAAGAGTCTCGAACCAAAAATGTCTCTCCGCCATCTCGAGCAGCACCATAATACTCGTAACATGGAGCATGAACGTTGTAGAAAAAATGCCAAAATATGTAGAAGGAAGTATAGTTCATTTTAAAATGTGTAGTTTATATTTATTAATTTAGCACTTATTGTTGTACACTGCATTTTGAGGACTTGTTGATTAGCCGATTTTTTCCAGTCAACTATTAACCAGGTATGGTTAGTAAAAATGTTTATAGATAAATATGTTTTTTTAAATTGCGCATTTTTATAGTATGTATGTATATTTCTTTTTAATTCAATGAAAACTGTAGAGAAACACATGTTGAACATAAAACTTAAATTTTGGAAGGACTTTTATGTAAAACTTACATACGTATTTGGCAGTTTGCGTCAATGTACGATAATGTGATAACAAACCATATTAAATAACAGAGATCTTCAGGCCGTGGGCTTACGCTTTAAGACGGATAAGTGCTAGACAGAACTCAATAACCGATGTCTTCAAAGTTTTGGGCGATCGCTTGCAACAACATAAATGCAATGACTTCGAATTTTAATTACCCTTATTAATTTGAGTTTTTCAAATCTTTGGTTACTTTCATATCAGTAATGGAATAGGCATTATCACTATAAATCGACACATGGCATCAAGTGAAAATTTCGACAAGCATTTATGAGGTTTTGAGTTTTTTCTGCACGGTCGTCTTCAAAAAACTATCACACTTCTCTATGGCCGAAATTGCGTTAAAATATTTCTCTTTATGTATTAACTAGCTGACCCTGCAGACGTTGTTTTGCTATTTACATTTTTTTTTTTGTATTTCTAAAAATCCGTTCTTAGCTGACCCCTACTCGGTGAAAAGAATATTCCTACCAAATTTCAAGTCTTTAGCTCTAATGGTTCCAGAGATATCGTGATGAGTGACCACATACGTGGAAATCTCTTATTATATATAATAGATATATAAAAAATAAGTAACAAAATGCGTAAATCAAAAAAATAATTTTGTTTTTCATTTTTTTAATAATTAGCCTTTGCTCGCGGCTCTGCTTGCGTGTATGACGGAAATCGCGGTAAAAAGGAAACTGTAGCACTCTAGGATAATATACCTTTCTAACAGTGATAGGATTTTCAAAATCGAATCAGTAGTCGGAGATTACCCCGACCATACAAACTTTTCTTCTTTATTATATTAGTATAGATTTAGTAAGTATGCTTCGAAATCTATCGGTCAGCTCCTTCGAAAAAAAAAAACATGACAACACTAACCTGTCCCTGCCAATATTTTGATGTTTCTTGGTATTATTATTATTTATATATTGTATATATATATATATATATATATATATCTATATATATAAATATACATATATATATTTTGTATGATATTTCAGTATTCGGAGCAAACAGTTAAGACATGGTGTAATAGGTTAGCATGGTTTAATTGAACCCCACAAAATTTTAAGCCATTATAATTAGAAGTCACCGATTGATGATCACTGAAAAATTTTCTACCCGTAAAAACCAAAACCATGCTTGTGCAAACTCTTATTTTCCCCCTAATCAACTATTGTGGCGTGTACTGTAATGATCTGTAATGAGTCTACTGGAGGCCCAACTCTTCCTTTCTATCTTATTTAAGGGGGGAG